ATCTGTACTGGCTCTCTCTCATGCTCTGCTGAGGGAATGGAGATGATCTGCTAGAGTGTTAAATTTGACTGAATGTTTGCTTTGTTAATTTGCTTTTCAGTAGATGTCTCATTATGAAAATGTTAAAAAAGTTGTGGTCAAAATTATTACATGTTTTTCTTTAATGTACTATAATTTCTGCAGGAAAGGTTCCAGGGGTAACTGTAGCTCCCTTTTGCTAACCTGTTAGTTTGACAGCGTTTATGTCTTCTTTCCCAGACCTTCTCATTAATAAAGTCCCTCTTAATCAATTAAAAAATTTTAAGTACTTTAAATTGTTTATTTTTTCTCTTGAAGGTAAAAGAAGCTCAAGATATTTCTGGTAGGTTAAATGTTGAACATTAAATGTTTTGGGAAAATTGCAAATCAGATACCTTGTCTGAATATTTTTTATGGTTCATTGCCAGATTATGCTTATATTATTCTTTTTCTTTCTTTTTGGATAGTCTTTAAAACCCTCATAAGAAGTTGAATCAGATTAAGTATGTCCCCACAAAGTTCTTTATTCATTGGATTAGTAAACAGAAATAAAACCCTCTTTTTCAGAGAACTTTCAAATACCCTGCATCATCACCTTGTTTTCTGGCAAGGTAGTTTTATTGTTGGGACTGCAAAAGTCAAATCCTAACGTGAACTATAAACAATGACTTACCATTTTTGTTAGTATGAGACATCTGTCCTTTTCATTTGTATTAGTGCACAGCAGGCAAAGATTCTTCATGATCTTGACTGCTGTGTTGGGGTGTACAAGGTGGAGTAGTAAACCTGTAATATATTTAGCAGCATATGAAATCTCACAGAGTTCTTAAGTGATTCCACATATATGGTGTATCTACTTAGGCAATTCCAGATACTTGCAGCCTTGTATTTGCAAGGTTCAGTACAGATGATGGTGTAAATTGACATGTTGACTAGTGTTGACTAGTATTTACTAGTGACTAAAAACAGTTATGAAGATAACTAGTGTCATCTTGTTGGTTGCAAAATGTTAATCCATCCATTTAATACTGGAATCTGACAGAGTCTGAAAGACAGTGGCAATCCATGGCCTTTTCTGCATGAGGAGATCTAGCTGGCAAACAGTCTGTTGGCATAGTGCAGCTATCAAGTTCTTTTGGCAGAATACATTTACATTTGGTTGCTTCTGTTGGCAATATATTTCTTCATGGCTTCAGATTGTATTGGCAAAATATACACAGCATGTAAGAGGATCTTGGTAACTGTGTCTGTAGTGCTGTGCAGTGCTCATCTTGAAGCCAAATGTGTTAACTATTCATTCTGCACTCGTTAGGGAGTTGTTCCTGAATCTGGGTGCACATGAAAACAGCTGATTCTCTTGCAGGAAAAACATTGATTAGTGCTGAAATTTTAAAGGTCATTCAAGAGGAGCCTCACTGCTTTGTGGACAGGCTGTGTTCCTGGCTAATTCAGTTGCCTGTGCAGATATGATAGTTCCTTTTCCTTAGGACAGCTGTATCATTGCTTACTGAGAAGAGGATGAGGTTTGTGGGCAGTCTGAGTGTGTGTGTAGACCCAAGTATATTTACATGTCATTATTTGGCAGGCAACTAGGTGAGACTGCTTCTGAGTATTGAATACCAACTGAGCACCCTTCAAGAACTGGTGGAAGTGTGCATTAAATCCATAGAAATTGCTCCCTCAAGGCTGTATTTAGTCTTCTCCCTATGTTCTCATTTGTTTCATAGAATCATATAATTATTTAGGTTGGAAGAGACCTCTGCAGGGGTCACCTAGTGCAACTGCTTGCACAGAGCAGGTTCAAAAGGATCAAGTTGCTCAGGTCCCTACCCAATTAGGTCTCCTCTAACTCCTCTCTTACAAAGACTAGTCAAACACAGTTCTTCCATCTATGTACATCATGTGCTTAATTTCCTAATCAGATTGGCAGCCTTCCCCTGAATTCACTCCAGCACATCAATGTTTTTCTTCTGATGAGGAGCTGCAAAGTGATCATGGTACTCAAAAGCCTTCTATAATATAGCGAAGCTGTACTGATAATTACAGTGGTTTTGTCTGTGTAGGATGGACAAGACTTTGTTCTATAACAAAGTCTAATAAGAGGTCTGGTTTTCTGCAGGTGAAATGGTTCTGGTGGTGAATGACACTTGTATACTACATAATTTCTGCAACTATTATGTCCTTTGTTTAGGACATATTCAGGTGGATAAATAAGGTGTTTATAGTAGTTGTTGGAGTCAGAGATATGTCAGTTCCATCTGCTCTGGGTACCAGTTGTTTGAGGGAGCATGAAAGCATTGTGGTGACATGGCCTATTCAGAAAGTGATTTTTTTTAATCACATGTGCAATTAATTTTCGGGAATTTTCATCAAATAAAAAATAAAGCTGTATTTTCAGATTTTAGATTGTTATCAAGCTTAGCTTTCAATATGAGCAATGCTTACCTTAGCATCTATAGCTACTTCTGAGTAGGAGTAACAGCAAATCTCCATCAATGTTCAATATTGCTATAAAAATGGAGTGAGGAAGATGATGTAGGTCTTTAACCAAAGATTATTTTTCATGTTTTGTTGTAGATTCTGGGTTGCTAGTATTATGATTTTCTGATCAAGAATGCAGCTTAAAATACATTAAAAGAAAAAAAAAATTAGCATATCTTCTTGCAGTTTTCAGTCTTTCAGGTTTTGTCCTAAGTCTCTGCAATAGGAGGGAGTTTATGTTCCCAAGATAGAAAAAAAATAATTTCTCTGATCTTCTCTGATCCATTTTCTTCCTGTTTATCATGTAGAGTATTTACATAATCAGGTGCCCCCCTCAGATCCATACGGTAGGATCTGATGGTAGAAATCCTGGAAGAACTTTGAATGTCTGTGATTCCATTGCACATCAAGAGATCATCATGAAGGCACTGTTGTTGCCTGATAGTCTGGAAATGATGGAAACTGTAACAGCTATAACAAAAGGCCTCTGGGAGATGTTTCTGTATGCCACAGACTTACTGGGTGGCATTCATTTTACTAAACACAGACAATTCCTCGTCTGGACTTCATTTATTGTGTGTAGAGGGAAACAGGCATTTATAGGGCTTGTTGTTTTCATTTTGCAGCACAATTTTTCTCATCCCAATGCCACTGCCTAAAATAAAATAGATAAATTACTTGTTAAATACCTGTTTTCTTAATTTATTTTAAAGGGAGCCTGAGATGACTCTTTCAGCACTAAAAATCTGTGCCATAGCTGACTAAAGCTGGTTGTAATAGGTTTGCTTTTATTGTAATAGCAGCAGGCCAAAAGAGAACTTATGCTGCTTGGGGAAACAGTTTTAACTTCCCCAGTTTTTTTCCCTTGCTGTTCTCAGGGGAATTGGAAGCAGAGCAGGAATGCACACAGACTTCTGCTGGCTGTTATTTTTCCTGGTTAAGAGTTCTTTGTTGTCTAATGATTGTTCCAGAATAAAGTGTCAAACTCATCCATGCCTAAAGTTTTCAGTGTTTCAACCTGTCTTCCTGCATTAAGTTTTTTGAGTTTATTAGGAAAGCAGTCTTCACACTGTTAGATACACAGTGTACATTTTTGGAGAAGATGCCACTGGCTGATCATCTCTGTTTCCAGGATTTGAGCAGCCACACTGTGCCCTGGTTAGTTTCTGAAGCATTGAGTTTCACTTCTTGAAGACATCTTTTGTGGCTTTTTCTATTTCTTTTCAGTGGTCAGATTCAGAGGAGTTGTGGTCAACTGCTCAATGTCCAAGTTGAGATCAGTGATATTCCTCAGGGATCATTATTTGGGCTGGTGCTGTTTAACATCTTCCTCAGAGACATGGACAGTGGGATCAAGTGCAACTTCAGCAAGCTTGCTGGTGACACTGAGCTTTGTGGTGCTGCCAAAATGCTCGAGGAAAGAGATGCCATCCAGAGGGATCTGGATAGGTCTGAGAAATGGGTCCATGTGAACATTAGAGAGTTCAGCAAGGGCAAGGTCCAGCACCTTGGTCATGATAATTTTAAGCACAATTACAGGCTGTGTGGAACATAGATTGAGAGCAGTTTTGAGGTTTTGGGGCAAATTAATCATTTTGGAATGTTATTCTTAGAGTATCATTACCTTCTGTCCTGCTTCTATTCCTTTCTACTACCAATGAGGTCTTCAAATGATAAAATAACTTAAAAGCACCCTATATTTATTTGAAATTATGTGACTTGGTCATCTGGTGTTAGATAACTTCATCAGTTCAGAGAAGGAATTAAACACATCTGCTTCATTTGTAACTGAGCCTTATTGCAGCTGATTTTTAGGGTCTCTGAATCCAGTTCCAAGCAAAAATCAGTGGGATTTAAGGCTGTGGCAGTAGGAGCAAGTTTGAAAACTTAATGGTGAAATAAGGTAGTTTCTTCCCTGACACTTTACAAAGTTACTGTGGCAGAACAGAGGAGTCTACAGCAGGTTGTTTAACAGATCATGAAGAACTTTGCTGTGTGTATCTGAGTTTGTGCTCCTAGATTTGAGTTCCCTTGTATGGAAAGTTAGCATCTAGTTTCTAGACTTAAACATTAGAACTGTATATTTAGACATGAATTACCATGTTTTCACTGTATAGGGCTTGTCCCAGAGTTTGTCCTGCCTTTGAGAACCAAGTAACCAGCACAAGTAGCCAACCTACTGTTAAATCAGAACATTGTTTTACATGAATTTCTGATATTTTTCTGTCTTCTTTTACTTGCTTTTCCTTCCAAGTTGTTTATGAGCTTGCTGTTGAAAAAGTTCCTTTCAATCTGTCGTTTAAAGCTGATTTTAGTTTTACTTTGCAATGATTTGTTTTTCAAGTATGAGGTGTTACTATTCCAGTTGTATAGTTGATTATCACTTTTTGTGTCACCTAAAAGACTTGACTAAAAAACCAAAATCAAAAGAACCTCAGAAGTTACATTTTTTAATTCATTGTGTATTTAAAATTTTGTCATATTTTTTTTTTCTTTTTCAGTTCCCAGCTTGAGCTGAAAAACTGACCACTGTATACGGATGTTAAATGTTTGGAAATGAGAAATTCAGAGGACTGTATAACAGCATCAGTGTAACAGACCTCCTGTGTATATTTGAACCTATTGGTCAGTGGCTGCTTAAGACCTTCCTAATGCTGAAGGTCTGATGTCATGTTCCAAGTGACTTATGCAGTCAGCAGTGCAGGTACGTCAGGAGAGCTGTAATTGGCAGAAGACAGAAAATATTAGTTGGTCTTTTAGAGAAATAATTCTTTTATGTAGCTTTCATAGCCCTTAAAGTGAGTTGAAAACACAATAAATATCCATCATTATCCCTATTGCCATCCTTGCTTTAGTAACTTTTGAGCTGCTGTTAGTTTTGTTTTTCAGACTGAGGAAATGGGAGGGTGAATTTGGGAAATGAAGTTGACAGGAAGCTGACACTGTGCTGATAAAGTAAAGTAAGGTATGCTGGACTGTCTTAAGCCACAGATGTTTCTTCTGAAATGTGTAGAGACTAAATTTGGAAATTATCTGTTTCTGTAGCCATTCACTGTAGTTCATGCCAGATGGTTTGTATCTGTATATGGATACCAGTTACAGCAGGAAGCTAAGAAAGCCACCTGCCTTCACTGTGTCCCTCTTTTCTCATGACATTACCCTTTAATTCTGGCAACCACAAGAAAGTACCATGTCTTACTACAGAGATATTTATATAGCAATCACTTTAGGACTCCATCTTACACAGAAATACTTAAATTAGCTTGAAATTAATTAACATCAGTCAAATATCCTTATCAGTATAGATTCAGCAGCAAAGAATTCAGCACAGATTAACTTTCTGAATTTGATTTTCAGGCAAGCTTTGCAGTTGTGCCATGTTCTGTAGTTTCACTGCTGAAGTGCCTGCAGGCCACCTATGTAAGTATACCTTGGTACAATACAGTCATGCCTTGCTGGAAATATAAGCATGTCCTGTTAGCCTGGATAGCAGCAAGCAGAATGGGCTTCTTTTGTGGTCACAGTCTTTTACTATAACCTTGAGATAATTTATATAGCTGGCATATTTTGCAATTTTTTGTCTCCAAAATTTTATGGAGGAATGTCCAATGAGTTCCAATGGCTTAAAACTAGATGAAGATTGAAATAAGTTTTGAATGTATCAGCAAAATCATATCACTAACATTAGTGATTAGAAACAACCTGTTGGAAAATAAAAATTAGTGATTAGAAACAACAGGTTGGAATGAAGTTTTGAGGTTATGTGTATGGAACTGATGGCTGCTGCAAAATAAGTAAGCTATTAACTCTAGGTCTGTGGCACTCATTGAATTTCTTGCCATTAGCAATGTACTTTCTAGAGAGATCTGTATTTGTTGCATTGGAATAATGAAAATACTTGTGTTCAGGAAGGAAGCACTAAATGGACAGTATTGGAAATCTAACAACTGGAAGTTTAATAGTTTCAGTTTAAATACTTCAGAAGGCATGTGGCTAATAATTTAACTAGCTGGTTAGGAAGGCTTTATGAATTTGGAAAGTCTCTTGATGACTTCTATACTTAATCCTGTTTTCTGAACTGAGTGCTGCGACATAACTGAATAGTTTTCTAGAAAACCCCCAAGTGCTATTGAGGCTTTCATGCTGAACACATAGCTACAATAAACTAGAAGTATCCAGGTGTCGTGGTAAAGGATAAGATGCAAAAGCTATCATGTACCATGAATTTATGAGCTGAAACCCTTATAAGTTTCTGTTGAAAAGGAAAGTAGTTGCAACTTGACAGTTTTAGAATTTTTTTTTTAGATGTGGTAATAATACACTCATTTTCATGGTCTTATTTAGATCCATGTATTACTTGAATCCAAGTATTAATGAGATTAATCACAGCAACATTTGCTTTAAAAATATTTTTAAAAGAAAGGCTGAATTGCCCTCAAGAGATTTCATTCCTTTTAGAAGTGTATTTTATGATAGGAGGAATCACCCCATTTACTTCTTCCCCTATTACTGAGTACTTGTGCAGATGGTGAGAATGGACACCCAACTTCCACCTGGTTAGACAGATTCATAAGGACAGAGGAATCATACCCATGGTAGTTAAAGTTGTATATTTTTACAGTAATAAATTCTAAGTAGTAGCCACTGTTGACATTTCAGTATCCTCTTGAAAAAAGGAAGATACCTTATTTCTTAGGACAAGATTTTACAATGTATTCAAATATAGGAATATATCTGCAGGAAATAAATAGTGGGAAGTGTGATTTATACACTTAAAATAAATAGTGGGAAATTTACAGTCGGCATAAAGTGGGCAATACAGATGGGGAGGGGTCCAATTTTACATTCCCTCTGAGCTTCATCCAATTTAAAGGCTGCTCTGTATTCTGTCAGTTAAAACATTTCCTGAGGGACTTTTCCAAAGTGAATGGGCCAGATTATTGAAAATTTATACTTTGACTTCTACCCACTTCTGGTCCCAATCTAATGGTATGTTCCCACATAGTCCTACCACTGAAGATCTTCCATATGAATGGGAGAAACTATGACCACCGTGTCTTCTATTTGTTTCACTGAATAACACAAAAGCAAACATATGAAGTTTTGTTCTCTCTGAATTCATAGCAAAAGTACCATGGATTTTAGTGGTATTAAGATTTTACCACTGGTATGTTTATTAGCCCCTCTGAACTTTCTTTTCTCTGCACTTCTGCCCTGTTACATTGTCAGGTTTTTTGGGAACAAGAGGAAGTGGTTGCTCTTTTGTTTAAGCCAATAAATCTGAATAGGGTTTTGTTGAGACTAGAGTTAAAGCACTGCTTGAGGTTGCTGCTGTAATATATATTAAAACAGTCTAAGAAAGTACCAGCCTACAGTTATTTACTGTACCATGTTTCACACATGTAACAGGATTCTAGAGGCAACAGACAGCTGTTCTGACAGGTGATTTGAAAACAAAACATTAAAACTGTCATTCTGGCCCTACCAGACCGTAGGACTAATGGAGCAGATACTGCTTGCTTTGCCATAAATTCACTAAAACTGTCAACACTATTGGAAACTCTGCTGATATTTGTGGGACTATTGTCAACTTAAATCATACTTCTGTCAGAGTAATTTTTTTGCCACAGTCACTGACTGGTGGTGTCTTTGCTGGAGGAGTTAAAAGAGCTGTAAATCCTACTCCCCTTCCCTGCCATTAGCAGCATGCAGTGTGGTGTGCACTCCTCATGGCACGGTGGGACACTATCATGTGGTTGTATGAAGTATATCAATACATGAAGCACATGTTTCCAGTGCTGGTTATGATTTTAGACTAACATGACTCATTGAGACTTTGGGGTTGGAGTGTGTGGGCAAAGGTGAGGGGAAAAAGAGAGAATAAACCCCAGTTGTTAAATTGTTTAGGCTTTTCATAATGTTTCCATTACGAGCAGGAAAAGCTAAAGAATAAATTGCACAAAAATTGAGCCAGAAGTTTGGAAGCTGTGCTCTGCAGGCAGAGTTCTGTTGACTTAATCAGATGAAATTCCTGCAGAAAGCCTTCTCCTTTGCCAGTGAAGTAAGTCTAATAGCCTTTCAGGCTAAAACAAACTTTCAAGGATTTGTAACAACAACACTATGGTTCTACAGAGACAACATGTCCATAAATTGAAACTAGTCATCTGACAGTCTCCATTTGTCTGACCTACTTTCTACTCTGTAAACAACCACAAGAAGAAAATTTGGGGGTGACAGAAGGGGCAGTAGGAGGACAGACAAGAGAGGCAGAATGTTATGTAGGTTACACACGCTTTATATCTCATAATTTATAACCAGAAGAAAATGAGAGAAGGGGAATGATCAAAGAATACTAGTGTCTGATGAAACATAAGAAGAGTGGTTCCTTCCTCCTGGCTATCACCAGTGACTGATGTAGGGGTGGCTATCTTAAGGGTCACCATAAGGATCTCACTGCTTTTTATCTTCCTAAAATGGATGAAAATAAATCCATGTTCTGAGAAAAATTTCTATCTCAGGTGCTCATATTCCCTTTTCCAAATGTTGCCATCCCCAAAACCAGGATGGCAGAATCTGTGCCAGCATGTCAGTTATCCCAGTTGACAGTTGGGTTCAAGGCTGGTTTTGTTTATGTACCAGGTGGTGAGGTGGAGCAGCTGAAGATACTTTGCCACATTGCTCTATGCACCTAAACATTGCCTTTTTGAGCTCATTGATTATGTAGCTGAAGCTAGAACCTATGTAGTGTGAACTGCTCAGTCACGTTCTACAGCTAGCAGCCATAACAAAATCTTACTTGGTGTTGGTTTGGGATATTTGGGATATAAGATGTGCTGATTAGTAGGTTCTGGAAATCGCTGTTCTTTCTAACAAAGACACTGGAATCCTTCTATTGAATTGAAAACTCAAGCTACTGTTTTCTTAATAACTGCACCTTTTTTTCTGTGCTTCGCATTATTATGCATTATGGCTAGTTGTCCATGGCTAGTTGTTAACCTGCTGCAAAACTTATTAAAAGTCTTACTGAGGCTAGGAAATTTACTGTTAATACTAAAACAGCTCAGTTTGCAGCACTGCCAACACAATGCACATCCTGATCTGCTCTGGCTTTTGACATTCAAGGAAATAATTAACTAGTAAACTTGTATGGTTTTCCTCATGAATGAATTCTGCAAGAGGTACATGTGTAAGTACAGCTTCAATGCGTAGACAAGGCAAATACGCAATCATTCAAAAGCACCATAATGTTCTCTAAAATATTGACAGGTCAAGTAAATAAAGTTATGAAAAACGTTGATTCCAGCAGACCTATGTGTAAAGGGAGCCCTAAAAGTCAGTGAGAGCTTGGAGCTGGTGCAGTACTTAGCACTCAGTTATGAAATAACTGGGCAATAAGATACAGTGGCCACGTGAGCACAGTAATTATAACACTTGGCAGTGCTTATGTGATGACTGACCTCTTGCCAGTGTGAAACGCAAGAGCTGTGCCATTCAGCTAAGGAGCAGAAGTTCTAGAGCAGGAAGCAGGAATAGCCCATGTTCTCTCTGGATTTCCAAAGGAGAAAGGATGTTTGCACACAGTGAGGACTAGAGTGCCATTCAGTTTCCCTATCTCCCTGAGGGTTGCTCTGCACTGCCTTATCTCCACCATCCTTTCCTCTTCCTTCCTCACCCACTCAATGGACATGTAACTTTGCTGGTGAACATGGAGGCACTCTAGTTCTCAGCAGTTCTTTTCTATAATAATATAAAACCTTAATGTAAGTCAAATTTTAATAGAGAGTATTTTTCTTTAAAACATTCTCTTACTTTGCTATTTGCACTGCTATTGCATCTTGACTATGTGAGGAGTGATAATCACAGCTTTGCTGGCTTTTGCAGCTTTGCCAGGGAAGTAGGTGATAATATGGCAGCTTTCACAGGCAACTTGCATGAAATCTTTAAAAATGTGAACTTGAGTCTAGGCTTTGGAAAGCCTAAAGAATGAAAAAAGGACAGTAGGGCATGGCAGAGATGAAGATGCCTACCTTCTAAAGCATGTAAAAGCTGAGATAATCTGAGACCGTTAGCACATAACATTTTTATAGGGCTGTTCTATAGTTAGATATTGCTTTTATTCTAGCCTCTAGGTGACATATTGTAACTGGGATTGATGGGATAACTACCAGTGTCAAAGAGACCAAGTGCTCAGAGTTTGTCAGAAACAGCCTGAAAAAAAAGATGGAAAAAATAAAGTACCCTCCCATGCTAAAAGCATAGGGTTAGTCACAGACAACCTGCAATAGAAAGGTTTTATAAGCAGGAGTGGAAGTAGTGAAAACCAGGCTATGAAATTTCAGGGCATTGGTCTTTCCATTAACTGCTCATATGGGAGGAATACCTGGAAAAATCCCAACAGGAGAGCTTATAGCCTCTTTTCA